ATTCTCCTTAAAATCGTATGTATTTTCCGCAAAGTGCAGCTCACGTACGTAAATCCACCATTTCAGATTCCTTATAAGTTATGCAAGAAATGAAATCAAATTAAGCCATTCAAAAAAGTTCTACAAGAATTGCAGAACCAAGCTTATTCAAAACAAAAATTTCAAAATTCTATTCAACGTCAAGAATTAAACCGTAACTGCTTTTCCACTTCACTAAAGCTCAAGAGCGAGGCTTAGCGCGAGTTGCTGGATCCTCGACAGATTCCAGTATCATCATGAAAACATAGCCAAGTATCCACGGGAGAACAAACTGGAGGGGAATCCAACATAAGCACGCCAACAGGCTCAGTATACTTCCAACATATTGTGGATCCTTTATGTATCCGAACGGAAATTCTGTTACCCAAGGAATGTTCTTGCCAAAGCGCACTCCATAGTATGTGCCAGCCTCACCAAGTAATTGGTAAACCCTGAAATATTTAATACGTTGAGATACCGAGTTGAGAAACGAGAAAATAAGTTTAAGCCGCGCTTTGGTTATTATTATTATCAGGACAAATTTCACAAAACCACCATGAAGCTTCGAGGATCTTGCACAAAACTTTATGATCTTTAATTGGTAAACAACCATGAAGTTTCAAAACTGCAGAAAAATACTGTGAACTATTGAAAATTGATGCTTACGACGTTAATGTCCTAGACAGAGGTCTTAAAAAAGCCCTTATTTATATTTTTCTTTTTGAAAATAAGAATGGAACCTCCAGAGTGAGACTCCAGCCGTTACATTAATCAAAATGGACTGGATACAAAGTTAGAGACCACAACACCAATCCTAAAGTATGGTCTCTTTAGATAATAAAACTACCCTTACATATATATCAACCCACAAAATTAATACGAACGTCATATATATGATGCATTACATCCTTATCTCAAACATGTAAATACCAAATAGGTACAAACCTTTTTGTGAAGCAGATGATTTATATTTTCAACACTGATGTCAACAAGAACCGATACGACTAGTTTATTTATCCATATTCCCAACAAATAGATAAGGGAGCATCGAAGTAGAAGGTGTTTTATCCATATTCCCAACAAATAGATAAGGGAGCATCGAAGTAGAAGGTGTTGATATTCCTTCATCACAATTTTTTTGGGCTGGCTACATGAATCCTGTCTTCCTTAGGTTTCATATAATGTAGATACCATTTGGTTTTAGGCTCGTTGTAAGCTATGCAACATAACCCTCCCTTTTATCCCAGTTTGATATAGGAAGGAAAAATTAAAGCATAACACACAAAACACAAATCCCCCAAATCATCCCAAAAGCACAAGCTCCAATCTAGCACTTAAAGGAAAGGAAGGAAAGATGAAAAAGAGAGAAACATAAGAAGCAAATTTGAAAAGTGCATGCTCAAATGAATCTAAAAGGTAGCTGACGCGTGGGTAGAAGAAATAGAGAATAGTGAAAGAGGAAAGAAAAGAAGGCAGACAGGACGGAAGTCACGGAACATAAAGCATCAGGAGAGCAGTAAATAGAAACAGAGGTATAAACTTGAAAAATCTATTTCATGATTTTGACACTTTGGGTCATTAATAGCACCAAAAAAGTTTGACGAGGCCACATGATACTACTGTGTCTTTATTGTCACCTAAATGGGAGTTATCCTTTTCTTCTCCAGCTCAGTCCATGACAATCTTATCACACTTGCTAGCCTAGGTAGCAGTAGTAGGTACTAAAAATTTAAGAAGACAAACTAGCCAAAATCTGGAAGAAATACTCATGTTTGGAAAAAAGAGTAAGCTTGGGCCTCAACCCAAATTAACTCCCGTCGAACACCTTGGACCCAGCATATCATCATGAGGCCACCCATAAACTTTTCTTTTCTTGGCGAACTCCAACTTAAAGATGGAATTATTTGTCACAATAGTTGCATTAAAAAAACCCCACAAGTAGGCAACATCTACACTACACTTTGCTCTCCAGACAACCAAAAATGCGGAAACTAATTTCTCTAAGAAGTCGTAACACCTATACAGAATTATTTGTGCATGAATATATGATTTACGTATTTCTATTTGCCATTCTTTATGGCCTCGTTTCGTGTCATGACTTCTTAGAGAAATCGGTTTCTGGTTATCATGTTTTTTCTTGATTATTTGAACAATGGGGTTAGGATGTAGAAGTCAACAATTCTCATGTATGGTTTCTGGGGTGAAATAAGTCAAGATCGACATGAGAAGAAATCACCTTTTTTTGGAATAATATATCTATTCCTAAGAGATTGGAAATATTTTATTTGTTCCATAAAAACTAAGGTTTTTTAGGGGTTTCCAAGGTAACCGCACATACACCTCTACACCTAAAAAAGAACTTATAGAGGGCAGAGGATGAAAATGCGACATTATTCTGTTAAATTTAAATCATCACAATGTTATAACAAGTTAAAAATATCAATGCAAACTAACTACTGAATTAGTAAAACCATAAATTTTAAATTGGCAGGGCACATGCCACGGTCTGCTTACTCCCTATATGATTTTCTCTAGAGGGCCTCTGAAAGAATTTTTTCCCATAAAAACTAACAGCATACCCCCTTTTGTGTTATGTCTGGGTAGAGTCAGGACTGTTAGGTATTAACTCCAGCTTAACCCCATTTTCAGACACAGTATTGTTCCATGCTCACGGAACTCTGTAACTCTGACGGTCCAGCCTAACCCCATTTCCAAACACAGTATTGTTCCATGCTCATGGAAATCTTGGATTGATTCCACATTATTTGAAAATAGGGTAAGTTTTAAAAACTACCATGAACTCTTAGAGGTTTTCTAAAAACAGTACAAACTTACAAACCAACAAAATAATACCACGCATTATCAGAAATCTATACGAAAGTTATATGATAAAACCTAAAAGTCGATGGTAGTTATCTGATAATAACATTATTTCACAGTAGTTTATTGACCTATCTGAAACTTCATGGTAGTTTATAAACATAATGAAGTTCATGATATTTAATTCATGGATGGTTTTTTGATAATATCTAGCATTTTTTTAACTGATCCTAATTTGATGATATTCGTCTCGGGTTTTCTGCATTTCAAATACCCCAAAGTTTCACCCTTTTCATGTAGATACTCTAAAGTTCTATTTTGCCAAATTGATTCCCCAAAGTGCAAAAAGAACGAAGTTAATTTTGTTCAAAAACATCAACATAGAAAAGTTATGAGTTTGGGGAGATTAAGGCACAAAGTTAGCTCATGAGAGCATCAATTTTGTCAAATTAACATCAATTTGGAAACCTTTTGTTATCAAATGGCCAAAATTTGAACTTTGGAATCAGAGTTTAAAAAAAAAGATTGAAACTTTAAGGTATTAGAGTGCAGATAAACTATGCTTTTCACCAAGGAAGCTAGTTTATAGTACTTTGTATCCAAAACCCTAAAGAGGGCAAAATAATCGGTTTCACCTGAAGTTGAGAAACTGGCCAAAGGCAAACAATACATAACAATACAGCGGCGGCCATTGAAATGAGGCGACGGAGAAGAGGAAGAGGATCTGGATGGCCTTGAGCACGTGCGAGATCTGTGCCATGCGGTGGCTGGGGTCCACGCCTCGCCCGCAGAGGTCAACCCACTTCTGAGGGTGGGCCCACAGAACTAGTAGAACGGGAAGGGAGTAGAATCCGACGACGGCGCGCGCCGCCGCGCCGCCATTTGCTCCGCGGGGGTGGGTTTGAGGGTTTAAGTTGAAGTGAAAAGAAGGTAAAATTTAGGGGTTTATTCGATATTAGTCCCTTACATCTATAGTAATTTGATATTAGTCCCTTACATATGCGTATTTTGATATTAGTCCCTCAAATTGCTAAATATGATGATAAAAGTCCCTGAAGTTAGTTGGGGTTATAAATTCCATAGAATATTCCGTTATGTATAACTTTTGTAGGGAATGGATAGTTATACCCTCCCCTCTAAAACCCAAAATTACTAACCTGTTAAGACACCCAAATCGGACCCAATATCTATTTCATCTTCTCCAATGGTCTGCGCATAATAAACTCATCCTCTCTAAGGTCTTTTTACCATTTTTGAGTGGGAAATAGAGAGACATGGATTTTTTTTCTTCTCTCCAACATCTCCCTCTCAAATAAACAATCAAATACAAGTAAATTTCTCATCACAAGGGGGGGGGGGGGGTGTGGGATTCTCATCAATGTGAACCTTAAAAATCCGAACGACGAACTCTCGAAGAAGAATCATGCTCACATCAGATCACCGATCCAAAAAACCACCAACCTTCGAAAACAATCCATCTCTTTCCCTTGGTGCGGCTGCGAACAACACTCTCCTCTATCCCTCTACGGGATCTCGATCGCCGACTCCTTCTCCTTCGTCACACGTCGACGTCGATGAGTTCGATCTCCAGTTGCTTCCCACGCTCGCCGATGCCTTCAACGGGAGAATGATGACACATTTTCTTCTGAAGAGAGTGGGAAATAAAGAGACAAAGAGAGAAAGAGGGGGAAATTAGTTTGGTGGGTGTATTCAAATTTCAATGCATGTGGGGGGTATTTTAGTAACCGGAAATCCTTAGAACTGTAAACCACACCAGGGTTAGGGAATTTGGACATAAATTTTAACAAAAGGACTCTTATCAATATATTTAAGCAATCGAGGGACTAATATTAAAATACGCATATTTAAGGGACTCATATCAAATTACTAGAGATGTAAGGGAACAACATTGAAAAAATCCTAAATTTAATGGCTTAAAACGCGGTCTGGTCACCGCCACCGATTTTGGGCAGTCAGCGTCTAACTCGGGCATGATCCGTGTAAACACAACCCGACCCAATAATCGGGAGCAATAGATTTTGAGAATTTATTGGAAAATCTGAAGAAACGTTCAGAGGCAAAAACAAAGAGGAACAAACAAGGTACGACTCCTCATCGCTGACTCTCATTTGTCATCAAAACTAGGGTTAAAAATACTCGTTGTTGTTCTCATTGAATTCCCAAATCTTTGCGACTGCTTGATTAGAGACTGTTTGATTAAGGTTATTAATATGGGTTTTGGGTTTTATAGGGTCTATGAGCTCATGATTTGGGGATTCTAACACCTAGTTCATGACCTCAGTAGATTGTACTTTTGTAGACTGTAGTTCGATCCATCCGCGGGGATATGTTAGGATCCAATGGAAAGGGAGGAGAAGGGAAGGATGATACCTTTCCAATTGCGTGAGCATTTTGTTTTGGGTTATTTAGATATTACTCCCTCAAACCTTCAATGATTCCGTATTAGCCCCTTGAACCTATGAAATCCCTCAGACCCTAGTGTTACCGCAACTTGGTCCCTCAATGGCCGAAGTGCCCGTCAGCTAATTGTTTTTTTGATGAGTTGTCTGCAAGTTGGCGTTCCAAAGTTTACACTACTTTGAACTTTGATGCCCAAAAGCATTTTCGACACTTTCGATGCTAAAAGATTGCACCTTTTTAACATTGACATCCTAAATTTTTTTTTTGCTCTTTGATACCCCAAACCTTACACATTTTTTTTTTTTACTTTGACGCCTCACAGTTCAAATACTTTTTTTTTAAACTTTGATAGCCTAAAGTTTGGAGTATCAACGTGTCAAAGAACAAAACTTTGGGAAGTGAAAAAGGTATAAACTTTGTCTTAATGAAGTTGTTAGAAATTTTTTTAAATATTAATGTTAAAAAGGTGTAAAGTTTGGGTATCAAAATGTCAAAAAATTTGGAGAATATGGGTTTTAAGAGAAAAATCATAACTAAGGGGTATTTTGGTCATTAAGGGACCAAATTGTAAGACCTCTTAGGATTTGAGGGACTAATGAACAATTGTTGAGATTTGAGGGACTCATACGAAATTATTGGAATTATTGAAGATTTGAGGGACTAATATCTAAGATTCTAAATAACCCTTTTGTTTTTCGTAGATGATAGTTTCTTTTTGGGTGGTAAACAGTCTAGGGGAAGTTGTCATGGGACACTAGGATTGTGCCTTGAGTTTTCCATTATAGAGGAGATATGTTGGCTGGAATGTTTTGATTGTACTGATGAACTATCTACATATAAAGCAGTAAAGGAAGTCACAATCCCTTACTTTTAGTTAATACATCATGTGCTAACTATGTGCTAAACTATAGGAGGATAAAATCAAAATCACTAGATTTCAGTTAATGTACTACTCAGGTGCTGAAGTGTAGAGGAACCAAGTTACAATCCTATCATTTTGTCTCATGTGATAAACTATAGCCTATAGGAGAGCGAAAGGGAACTGTGTGCTAAACTTTAGATAACTAAATCTTTTTGAGTTGACTCACTGAAGACAAAGGATCCGTTGCATACTCCGATCTGGGACCATAAAGTCTCGAAATTGATTCTTGGAGCAGGCTTTTGTCTTAGCATTCACACCCACAGACATTGTTATTGAGGCGCAAGGCGCAATGCGGGGCGCAAAGGCCCCTTACGCGCACCATGCGCAAGGCGCACAACGATGTACGCGCCTCACTGAATTGAGGCGCACCACGATGCGCGCCCCTCACTGAATTGAGGCCCACAACTCAAACTAATATTTTCCAACATAAGACAAAAAAATATATAAGCAACATGTTTATAAATTGTCACATAAAAAGACCAAGAAATATAATTTCACCTACTAATTCATGAAAGAGTCTTAATTAGCATGCATAACATAGATAAGTTCATAAGTTTCCACAAATCAGAATGCAAGATAATTTCCAACATAAGCAAAAGTCTATGAAGTAAAACAAGCAAGTAACAAATAAGAAATATGTATTTTCATTTAAAATATATGTATTTTTAAGTAACAATTAAGTGATTAAAAAAACATGATCGTTCATAATTTTGTAGTTAGCATTCTTAATTGCTATTTGTTAGTTATCATGAAAAGATGGAGAATGAAGGTAACAATTACATATTTACATGTTCATAATTTTCTAGTTAGCATGCTAATTAGAGAAGGAAGTTACGATTAGCAAACACGTATACTAAATTACTAATTAATGTTTCATTTTTATAGGTTAAACATGAAAAGATGGAGAATGGATTAGCAACTAGCAAGAAAGAGTTATTACAATCAAAACTAGGGTTAAAAATACTCGTTGTTGTTCTCATTGAATTCCCAAATCTTTGCGACTGCTTGATTAGAGACTGTTTGATTAAGGTTATTAATATGGGTTTTGGGTTTTATAGGGTCTATGAGCTCATGATTTGGGGATTCTAACACCTAGTTCATGACCTCAGTAGATTGTACTTTTGTAGACTGTAGTTCGATCCATCCGCGGGGATATGTTAGGATCCAATGGAAAGGGAGGAGAAGGGAAGGATGATACCTTTCCAATTGCGTGAGCATTTTGTTTTGGGTTATTTAGATATTACTCCCTCAAACCTTCAATGATTCCGTATTAGCCCCTTGAACCTATGAAATCCCTCAGACCCTAGTGTTACCGCAACTTGGTCCCTCAATGGCCGAAGTGCCCGTCAGCTAATTGTTTTTTTGATGAGTTGTCTGCAAGTTGGCGTTCCAAAGTTTACACTACTTTGAACTTTGATGCCCAAAAGCATTTTCGACACTTTCGATGCTAAAAGATTGCACCTTTTTAACATTGACATCCTAAATTTTTTTTTTGCTCTTTGATACCCCAAACCTTACACATTTTTTTTTTTTACTTTGACGCCTCACAGTTCAAATACTTTTTTTTTAAACTTTGATAGCCTAAAGTTTGGAGTATCAACGTGTCAAAGAACAAAACTTTGGGAAGTGAAAAAGGTATAAACTTTGTCTTAATGAAGTTGTTAGAAATTTTTTTAAATATTAATGTTAAAAAGGTGTAAAGTTTGGGTATCAAAATGTCAAAAAATTTGGAGAATATGGGTTTTAAGAGAAAAATCATAACTAAGGGGTATTTTGGTCATTAAGGGACCAAATTGTAAGACCTCTTAGGATTTGAGGGACTAATGAACAATTGTTGAGATTTGAGGGACTCATACGAAATTATTGGAATTATTGAAGATTTGAGGGACTAATATCTAAGATTCTAAATAACCCTTTTGTTTTTCGTAGATGATAGTTTCTTTTTGGGTGGTAAACAGTCTAGGGGAAGTTGTCATGGGACACTAGGATTGTGCCTTGAGTTTTCCATTATAGAGGAGATATGTTGGCTGGAATGTTTTGATTGTACTGATGAACTATCTACATATAAAGCAGTAAAGGAAGTCACAATCCCTTACTTTTAGTTAATACATCATGTGCTAACTATGTGCTAAACTATAGGAGGATAAAATCAAAATCACTAGATTTCAGTTAATGTACTACTCAGGTGCTGAAGTGTAGAGGAACCAAGTTACAATCCTATCATTTTGTCTCATGTGATAAACTATAGCCTATAGGAGAGCGAAAGGGAACTGTGTGCTAAACTTTAGATAACTAAATCTTTTTGAGTTGACTCACTGAAGACAAAGGATCCGTTGCATACTCCGATCTGGGACCATAAAGTCTCGAAATTGATTCTTGGAGCAGGCTTTTGTCTTAGCATTCACACCCACAGACATTGTTATTGAGGCGCAAGGCGCAATGCGGGGCGCAAAGGCCCCTTACGCGCACCATGCGCAAGGCGCACAACGATGTACGCGCCTCACTGAATTGAGGCGCACCACGATGCGCGCCCCTCACTGAATTGAGGCCCACAACTCAAACTAATATTTTCCAACATAAGACAAAAAAATATATAAGCAACATGTTTATAAATTGTCACATAAAAAGACCAAGAAATATAATTTCACCTACTAATTCATGAAAGAGTCTTAATTAGCATGCATAACATAGATAAGTTCATAAGTTTCCACAAATCAGAATGCAAGATAATTTCCAACATAAGCAAAAGTCTATGAAGTAAAACAAGCAAGTAACAAATAAGAAATATGTATTTTCATTTAAAATATATGTATTTTTAAGTAACAATTAAGTGATTAAAAAAACATGATCGTTCATAATTTTGTAGTTAGCATTCTTAATTGCTATTTGTTAGTTATCATGAAAAGATGGAGAATGAAGGTAACAATTACATATTTACATGTTCATAATTTTCTAGTTAGCATGCTAATTAGAGAAGGAAGTTACGATTAGCAAACACGTATACTAAATTACTAATTAATGTTTCATTTTTATAGGTTAAACATGAAAAGATGGAGAATGGATTAGCAACTAGCAAGAAAGAGTTATTACATTACGTAAATATGTAATATGTAAATTATTTTAAAAAACAGAAGAAAGAGTCTATTACATGACGCAGGTGTTAAGCGCACACGAGGTGCGCGTGAGGCGCGCGTGAGGCGCACACGAGGCGCGCGCCTCGTGTGCGTGCAGCTCCCCGCCTCTGGTGCGGGGAGCAATTGTCCCAACCCGCAGCGCCCCACGCCCGGGGCGCGCCCGGGGCGCGCGCCTCGATAACAATGCCCACAAATATGTAGAACATTTGAAGCTTGCCAGCGAACTTGATATGTAACAAAGTGATAATCAGATGGTAGATGTTCATATATGAGTGGAAGACTGGATTAGCATTCAAGTAACTAGCATCAACATCGTTAATAAACAATAGGCAGGGAAGATGAGGAGACAAAGTTCTTTGCTAAGATTTTCCACCCCATTAACTTAAGCTGTAGCATAAGCAAGAGCCCTATACTCGTTTCAGTTGAAAGAAGAGATACTGTTCTCTGCGAATATCTAGGATGATAGCTTGGAGCCAAGTTGCAAGATATATGTTGTATCGTCATTGTTGCCTTAACAGACCGCATTAGTAGAAGTAGTTAGGGATATTGGTGAATTTCTGTTCAACAATAGACCATGAAGTATATTTCTCTTCAGATAACAAACCACCAGTTTAAAGATTGGCTATGAATATCACTAGGAGAAGGCATATGTTGAAACAATTTGTTGACAGCAAAAGTGACATCCGGTTTTGTGAGAGACAAATACTGCAATGCCTCAACAAGCTGCCTGTATTGTATAGTATGGGCAAGACTAGCACCATCATGAAGTTGTAGAAGAGCGGATGCGGATGACAAACTTCTCTACACCAAAGCTACCTCAAGCACACAATTTCCTTTCCTTGTACTCTCCTAGAGTTTAGTATATTCTTAGCATCACGGGATGCGAATTTATTTTTCTATAGTTTAGCAGAAGAGCTAAAATCAAGGGATTGTGATTTCATTCTCCTATAGTCTAGCACATGGCGTATTAGTAAAATCAAGTGATTGTGAGCCCCTTTAGTGCTTTGTCTATGGATTGTTCATTAGTGCAATCAAAATGATCTAGCCAACATTTCTCCTCTATGGTATTGGCGTTATTTTTACTTTGAAGCATCATGATCCATATCATCTGGTAAGTCATTCACCACATCTGCTAACCATGTGCTATAGGGAGAATAAAGGAAACCTCTGCTATATCTTTAGGTAGCTGTATCTTTTGGAGTTGGCTTCCATGACAGGCATCATTTTGACATGAGGTATGCTGTGCAAGTTAGTGTTTCTCGTTTGGGTTTCAGTTTGGAATTGTGTTTAACCCAAAATCCATTAATGATCTTCAACAGCACCTTCCTTCTTTTCCATAATTTTCTTCGTTTTCCCTTCTTTGTTTTTCTGCTTCGGCATATTCTCATTTTGTGTTTCTGCTGGTGCTACTGGTTTTTGACACTAGTTGTAAAACTACTTAAGGCATGTCTACACAACACTGCAGAAAGCATTGGTTTATGCATCTCGAGAAAGAAGATGCGAAACAGACGTTAGAAGTTCTTAATTGTAAACCATATTGGAATATGTGAATTAGAAGAACACTTGAGTTGTATTATGTTCGTAGACAGATTGTTGTTCTCGTTGGCTCATGCTTGCTCTCATGTTGATTAAATAGAATTTGTAGTATAATCTTTATTTTTGTCCCTTTTCCATTCAAAAGTATTGTGCATATGCCCAAATTTTGTCTTGTTTTACCGTAAAATCCCCTAATTTTCAGAATTTTCCGTTCATGTTTTTCCTGATACTTAAAAGTTATGGTCGAACTATATTTGTAATTAATAATGGATATTGGGTATGAGCTAACAAGAGATGTGAATGGTAAGGTCCACATGTTTTGATGTGAGTAACAGGGTGGAGTTCACAGTTAGCCATTTCTTGATACTTCATTTAGCGAAATGAAATGAGCTGTCATCTCATATCCATTATTTGATCAACATGCACTTATTTGTCACTCAGTTATTGTTTATAACCTTCTGTCTCTGTTTTTGCTGGTTTTTACTAGGTGTACTGCAATGGTCGACAAAGAGGTTGCTACGCCATTGGAAAAAAAAGCACAGCAATCCCCAGCCACTACTCAAGGCTTGGCTACAGCAGTGCAGAAGCTGACACAAAGCTTAAGAAGAAAATTTGCTGTGCCTGCCCCGAAACAAAGAAGCTTAGGGATGAATGTGTCGTGCAAAATGGTGAGGATAAGTGTAGTAAATTTATTGAAGCACATAAACAATGTTTGCGGTCTGAAGGGTTCAATGTGTGATGAGCTTCAGATTATCATTCAAGATGATAATAGCTAATTTTGACGATACTTTTTTAATATATAGAGTTATAACACAAATTTAGAATGCATATATCTTTGAGAGATGTAATGAATAAACATGATGAATTTGTGAACATAAAGTTGGATGATTTGAATTAAATTTTTTCAAAATGAATAGTGAAATTGAATCTCTATTCTTGAAGTAAGTTGCGTATGGTTTTTCACTGCAGGATAAAGAGGATTAAGGAAAGAATTGAAGACAAGGATTTCCAATGAAGTGAGCTTAATTTCATCAATTTCTTTCAGACGCATGTGAATAATATTCATCTGCTTTGTGTCACTGTTATGTTCTGTTTTCAGGATCTTGTATAATAAAGGAAATTTCTTGAGTTCATGAGCATTAAGCATGCTTTCACTTGCTAACTCACATAATACCTATTCAAATACATCAAGCATGCCTTAGTTCCTAGCTGCATCTTATTGCCATTGTGTCTATGGGTTATGCATTCTCAGAAAATAAGTTTCAATTTTTATGAAATTGGTTAATCGTATACTAATGCCTGACTAAAAAAACATGTTAATTTCATCCGAAGTCCAGAGTTTTCATGAAATTGAGAAATTTTTTGTCACTCGATGGTTGATTCATGATAAAAACATATGAAAATTTCTTGAGTCTGCGTAACATACCACATTCACGATTTCCAGACCGAAAACTGAAATTTAAATTCTAATAACCGGAGGCGAGAAACATTAAGAGCTACTATCTGTCTTCATTGAAACCAAAAAATGAAAAATACAAAATCAGGAGATAAAAGTTTCTATTGTTAACTGATCAAACAATGTGTTTGAACATCTCGTTTTGAATCAACTGAACAAAAAAGAGAAACTTGCAAGAAGAACATCTTGTGTTTTTGAATCATCCTCACAAGCCCCAGAGTCGGCCAAGTTTATTGGCCTCGGCGCGAGCCCTCAGCCACCCGGGCGACCTCACTGGGCTTACCTTCGGGCTTGGCCTTGGCGCCCATGTGAAGTATCGCGTGGCAACCGAATGAACAAGGGCTCCTACGGCGGCCACTTTGGCCGTGCAGGCAGCGTGCGCTGCGGCGCTGGTGTAGCACGCCGCTGTGGCCTGTTTCCGTCAGCTGCGGTGCTCATTTTCTTTCTTTCTTCTGTTTTTTCAATCTTTGTGCTCCTTGTTTCTCTATATCTGTGGTGTATTTCTCTTTGTAACGAGGGGGGGAGAGCCTGCTAAAATTTCTCTTGGTTGGGAACGAAATTAGGAGAGAAATTTTATCTACATCCTCATTATTTGCATCCCCATTTTAACTTTGAACGGTATTTCTAATTATGTATCTAAAAACAAGCTCATCTTGATTCCAAAAACACCACCACCATCAGAAAATTTTTAGTGGAGACGGTCCAGCACAACAACAATTGACTGTAAATAATAAATAAAATGAATCATATTTATATATCATTAGAAGCAATGACATAGACAGACGTCAACATAATTTCCCCCCTAATAAACTGAAAACTTAAAACCCAGCGCAAAAAAATTCCAAGTCGATCTCAAGCGACAACCTCTCAAGAACACAACCCATCAAGCCATCCCCACTACAACCAGCCCCCAGCCGACCACCGCCGCCAAGAGCCACCGCCGTCTGTGGGCGGCACTGCCGCCGCGTCGAACATCATCGGGGACGGCGGCAGGGCGAAGCGACCGTATTCTCCGGAGCCATAACGACGACGACGAGCTTCTGGCCGGCTTCTCGCAAGCGCTCCCTCCAGTTGCCCCACCGATGAAGTAGTAGGGCCCGGAATGGTGCAGCCTGATCACCGTGTGGCCTTCGTCGCGGGCTGCGATTGGGCTGGACGTGTTGCAGCTCAAGTAGTCTTGTTTGGTCACTTGGAGGACCGAATCCAATCTGCTGTCGTACTTCCATACTACAAGAAATACGTTGCTAAAATTTAGCTATATACATATACACACGCACTTTCTTAGATGTTGCTACAATAGAAATCGAGAATAAAATGAGAGAAAATAGACTAAGGCGGTTTGTTCATTTGTAACGGAGGTAATTACCAAAATATCGTCAGGTACTACAAGTTATAACTTAACAGAACCAAACGGAGAAATAGAATCCGAAAATTTTGGGATAAAGACTTTGTGCTACTGGAAAATTTTTTTTTTGGTAGAGGATAGATGGTTATGATTGAGGAAATCTGATGATTGAGAGGTTTTATTACCGAGGGAGTCGCCGACTTGGAAGCGGTTGGTTTGTTGAGGGAGTCGGAAGTAGAGGAGGGGATTTTCCGCATCATTTCTCCGAGCCTCCGACAAAGAATTGGCTTCTGAGGTGCTTATAATGGTGGTGAAGAGAAGAGCAAGTAGGAGGAACGAAGAAGATGAAGAAGCCATAGAAGCTTGAACTGTTTTTGATTTTTTTTCTTTTTAAGTTGGACTAGAGACTGAAGGAGAGCTTGATGATGAGATTTGAGGGAAGGAGTGTGAGGGAGTGAGGTGAGTTTGGGGCTCAATTTAAATGAGAGGAGGGAGAAAAATAGCCGTTGGTTGGGTCTTGAAGTTTGAAAAAGAAGTAGACATTGATAGTTTTGGGACCCGGGCTTCTCGTCCGGACGTCAACGGACGAAAACTGGCCTCCTTTTACCAAGGTGCCTTTTTTAGGGAGTGATGCCTTTAGGAATTTTGAGTACGAATGTTTCTATTTGAATTTTTAATAGAAAATGTGTGTGGGGGTGGGGGTGGGGGTGGGGGTGGGTTTGGGTTATAGGTTTGCGGAAAAGAGTGCTGCTACGGGGACCCAAATATGGGACCAAGGGAGGGGAAGGTGAGGTGTCTGCCTCGCTTTTTGGCATAAAGAATTGAAAACCCCCCAAAAATGAAAGTTGGCATGACCAACTCATTATGCAATAGGGAGGGGACACATCATCTGTCCCCTCCATTGGTCCCATATTTTGGGTCCTTAAATCATTTTCCTTGCGGAAATAGTTACAAAGTTTAAGGTTTTATATATATACTGTGACATTAAATGTACACTAAATGAATGTCAATTCTTGATCATTGGATTTTAAAAACCGTGCACAAATCTAAGAATTGATATTTTTTAAGTACACATTTCATGTCCTAGATTCTCTACTGAACACTTACTCGAAAAAAAAAAGAATCCTATGGAAAAAGATGAAAAATATTATCAGGTCATCCTTGTGGAACACATCTTGTGTTCTTATTAGATTGTGTCCAGAGTCAAGAACTATTGGGAGAGATTTAAGTTGTAATGTAGTCGTTCCCCTAATTTTCAATGTTGTATAGAAAAGTGATTCTTCATGGGATAGAATTTAATGTGAATAAAACTCCAATTAAAAGAAAGATAAACAAAAGCTCGGGTAGCATACGAATTTAAACATGTTTTTATGACTTTTATGATTTTTGAAAAAATAATTTAATATAATCTTTAGTAAATTCTTGAAGGAAGTTAAGATTGACGGTTCTTGTTACGTCAAGATGTACTTAAATCACACGATGGGCATGTGATAATATCTAATACGTTGACGCTATTGTATTATTGGTATACCAAAAAGAATAATCACTGCACCAGTGTAATCCGTAAATTCTTTCACTACAAAAATGCAAAGGTGAAGGAGAGAATTAGGAGTTACAGGGAAATTTTAACATGGCATTTCCTAGGGGTTTTGAAATTCTTGTGAAAATGGAACTATAATTGTTGGGACAAATCAGGGGCTCAATATATAGAGCAAGGTGAAAGTGTTGGAAATATATCAAATAATTAAGATTATAGCATGAAGTAAATCCGAAATTAAAATAAATGAGAGATAAGAAAAATCAGGTCTGACGGGAGCAGTCGTGTAATCGCTGCCCTAGAAGATTAAGAACCCGTCTATCGCCCTAGCGCAGATGATTCCTTCCCCCTAGCGGTAAAAGCCCCCGGAAACGGCCGGCCTCTGCACTCGGGCGAGAATGCAGAGCTTCAGCTCAGATGAAGAAAGTTTCCCATAAAATAAAACGAATATATAGATGAAAGTAATATGTAGGGGAGAGAAGGAAAAACAAGAGAAACTTGTTGTATATTTTTCTTATTATTTTGAGCTCAACATACGGATATATATATAGGGTTGGAAAAGACGTTACAAAACCCGTAATTAATTCCGTAACGTTCATCATAATGTATAGCCATTATGCTCATTTTAATTTCTAATTAAAGCATATTTTTAATTACAAAATTTATTAGCATTCATTAAAGCAAAATTGCCTTTTCTCCAACAAAATATCCAACAGTAAGTACCCTAGAGAGGGTGAATAGGGTAATGTGCTAATCTAATCTGATATTAATGTCAATTAAAACTTATTAACAATTTATCTTTGCAAGTATGATGTACAACTAATTATGAGCAAGAATATGCAATATAAACAAAGAGTGATATAAACATAAACTAAAACACAAATGAGATAGTGTGCAAATAATCAACACAAACACACAAAGATGATGACGAAGTTCGGTCCTTCTGACCTACGTTTCCGCTCCCCACTCCCAGGGAGAGTTTTTAGTTAAATTAGTCGAGGTAAATTAGTTATGTATAAAAAAAAATAGGGTTGATTTTACAAAATGGTTTAACAAAATATGTTGTACATAACCCCCTAACTTTATTTATCTCACATAACCCCTTTGTACTAAGGGGTGTCTCACAAAACCCCGCCCCTAAGCTTTAGCTTATCTCACCTAATCTCCAGCCTGCAATTTGCGAATAACTAAAATGTCTTTGCGTGAAAAATTTCAAACTTTATCACCTATCATTTAAATGCAACATACTCCTTCCCTAAAGTTTGTGTTTTTTCCCCTCAAGAAAATTTTAGTTATTTGCAAATTACATACAGGGAATAGGTGTGATAAGCTAAAAGTTCAGGGGGATTTTGGGAGACACCCCATAGCTATGAGGGTTAAGTGAGATAAACAAAGTTCAGGGGGGTTATGTGCAACATGCCAAAGTTTAGGGGGTTTTGTGAAATTAACCAAAAAGTTAATCATTTTAATCGAAATTTGGGAATGCTTCAATTTTAGTCCCAAACAGTGATGACTTGCACTAATTACTATCTATATGATTTGAGGAGTAAACGAGCAAATAACCAGAATTGGATGATAATTTTAAATTTTTTGGAAAAATTCGTAAAATAGACCTATTTTGCTAAATATTTAACAAAACAGACTGTTTTGCTAAATATTTAGCAAAATAGACCTCTTTTTGGCATGTTGGCAAAAAAAAAAAAGATCGATTTTGCTAAACAGACCATCATTAAATCATACAGGACTATTAGTCTCGTATGTTTCGAATGGTCTGTTTTGCAAAAACGACCTCTTTTTGGTCTGTTGGTCAAAAAGATTAGCAAAACGGTCAGTTTTACTAAATATTTAGCAAAATAGGTCTATTTGGCAAATTTCTTCTATTAAAATACTAGCAATTTGATGGTGGATATGTTAAAAACTATAATACAAACGGCAAAAAGAAAAATGATCGAGCCCAAAACAATGATATATAATACCAGCCAATACTAACGGCAAAAACGACCTATTTCTCATCGACGTCTCGTGTACACCAGCTCGCATTATGCTCTTGGCCATATTCAAGAAATCACGGATTAACCAACGAGACCACTTATTATATAAACACCCACTCTCTCACTAATCAAGCAACAAGCAAGCAAGCAAGCAAGCATGAAAACATTCACTCTACCTCTTGCTGCTCTCGTGGCCATCTCAGCCTTAGCCCCCTCCTACGCCGTTATCTACTCAGCCAGCAACAGCGCGATAGGCACGCCCGGCGGCGACCGCTTCCAGCACCAAGTCGGGCTTGACTACGCCCTCGACGTCCTGGAAAAAGGGTCGTCCTCCTTTTGGTACGCGTTCGCTCAACAGAACGAAACCGACAGGAAAAATGTTACGGAGATAACCGTAACGATTACCCAGAGCATGATCGGTATATCCGACAACGTCAACGGTGACATCCGCGTAAACTCCAAGTACATTGGAAACTTTTCCGGTGACGTTAAGGAAGAGTTCACCGGGATTGTGTACTACGAACTTGCACGCGCTTTGCAATGGGACGGGCAGGGGCAGGCCCCTGCCGGGTTGTTGACGGGCGTGGCGGATTTCTTCCGGTTGAAAGCCGGATACGCGCCACGAATACGTAGCTAAGTATGGTGGGCGAGGGTGAATGTAGATCCTATCAGAACAGCCCGTTCGTCTGTGCTAGTCAAAACAAAGGGACAAGGGAAATCCGCGGACTGCCCCCTATTTGTCTATGTATGGGTCGTTATGCAGGCTGTTCTGATAGAATTCGTATTCGATGAGAATGCCCTTTTATGTTGCGTGTGTGTTTGAACTTGTACGTTTATGTTGTTTGTACCGAGGATATCAGATTGTGACCACGGTCGTTGTACCAAGGAAAATAAAAGAATTGATAAAGTGGACAACTTGCGTTGCTGTGATATGTTTTTTCCTCTCTGAACATTTTATGTTTTTAAGTTCAGTCGCGTCATCGGTGCCTAATTGAGGTATTCATTTAATCACCTTCAGCTACGTGCACACATGAACAAGTTCATGAATGATAAAGAGTCATCATATTAGTTCTTGGCGGTAAATTTTATCTGTTTTCTGAAAGATAAATCAAAGTCTAGGTGCGTTTGAGACTATATTGTTTATTTCCAAAACAGACAAATAACCAGCTGGGTCATTTGTCCAGTATCCGAATGTGTGCGGGTCAGACCCGTTAAGAAAAATGTATCAGCAGATTCGGTTAGCCCAGGTTCGATGTTGTGTGTTACAGCAGTTTGGGTTGATGTTCGGACTCCGAATTCAGTCATGTAGACAATTGAAGTCCTTAGGGTTGCATGTACTGAACCTCAATGCTGACCCCTGGACTGCCTCACAACCCCGAGTACAATGCTATATATGTTTATGAATCTTACAAAAAATTGAAGTCATGAGGGGAGAGATGTTGAAGTCATGAGGGGAGAGATGTTGAGCAAAGAACACTACAGATCAATTTTATGAAGAATTACAGGAAATCAGCAAAGGAATCAGCAGGTAGAAGCCAGACAGATCAGCGGTCGACCGCCACACTCACTAGTGATATGAGACATTTGATTAAGACAAAATCTTTGGCAGTCCAAAGTATTTCGAAATTCGTCGCGCAGTCAACTCTTCGCGAACTTTCGAAATACTTTGGAGGGGGTTCTGTAGTGCTTTCCTAAAATCACAATGGATTAGCTGAGTCGGCCATCAAACACTGATGATGGAAGTTTAACATCGGGAATCTGACTTACCAGAAGGCTACAAATTCGAAGATTTCCCATGTCAAAGAGTTAAAGCAAAGATTACAAAAATGACTAGTCTTAGCAATTATACTCGACAGAAAAGGATATACAAATCTGACGATGCTCTCTTCAAACCAAGACGTGGAAGTCTCCCGCGTATCAATCGCATCACAGACATACATCCGATTCAATACACCTACGCCTGCTTACAACAAACTATATAACACGAATCCTCAGCTTCTTATGTGAGATGATGATGAGTCTTGATGGCTGAAACGACAGACAACATGACTAATATTATATTTAGCAACCATTAGAGGTACGATGAGCAGTGTAATGATATTCGAGCACAGCTCACGTGGAGATCAACCTGCAGTTGGATAGAGCACGTTATTGAGATGCCTCATTGTCACAAATGGGCTGAATAAGACCTTCTTTACTGTGCTTTGGTGTCATCCATATATAAAGACAGAGGAAATCTAATCAACAAACAGCTCGAACAGCAGTTCCAATCAGCGCCAAGCACAAGCTCGAATGCAGCTCCATCGCTGCGCTTCAAAACGCAGCTCCATCGCGCTGCTCCCAACGCAGCTTATCAATCGCTTACCACGCAGCCTCCAATCGCTGCCGTAAGCACAGCATCGAACGCAGCTCGCAATCAGTCTGCCCAACGCAGCTTATCATCGCGCTGCCCAACGCGCAAGCCCAATCGCTGCGTAACACAGCTCGAACGCAGCTCCATCGCTGCCTAATCGCAGCTTTAGTCAATCGGCTGCCGCAACACACTTATCAACCGCTGCCCAACGCAGACTTATCAACCGTTGCCGACGCAAACTTAAATCCATCACTGCCCAACGCAGCCAGTCAGTCGCTTGCGCTAACGCACTCAATCACCGCCAGAGACGCAGTAAGGTTCTGACTCATTCCAAACGTGATCGTAAAACCTTCGAAAGCTGTTCTTCACCCACGATTTGAGGAGTGGCTCTTAGTGGGTTGCTCTACACCGCACCAATGGGGTACTAAACCCCCATTTGGCGGCGATTATGGGGGCAGTTACAATCCCTGAATTCCCCCTATATTAATAGCGAACAATCTACATAGTAGTAAGTGAGATCTTTTTTGGAGAAGTGGAGTCGGATTTTTGATGAATCAGATCATGAAGATATCTTTTCAATTAATCAGGAGGGGGATCTTTCGATTCAAATCTTCCAGAATCAGTAAAAGGAGGATTGACTGCCTTTACAACAGTCTGGGAAATCAACAAAACGGAGATCTCTAAACCATCGATATTTGGCTTAATTAACGAATTATTTCGGTTCCAACAACTCTATTCATTAGAGTGTTTGTACATTGTTCTGAATCACAAAACTCGTCAAATAGCTTATCAACGCAGACAAAGGCAGTTGGTTCAGTGAGTATAGATATTCGGATCGTCAACGAGAAGCAACTCGACGCCAAGCATTCGAGGGAGGCTATCTCATCCCACCTTGGTGTGAAGAACCCAGGTATATTAAAATAAAAGGGAGAGAATCCAAGATCATTCTTTCTCTCTTTTGTAATTCAGGAAATCACAATTTGTAAATCGAGATTAAAGGAATACAATCAATTATCCTTCATTTCACTTTCAAAATTTCCACAAACCAGCAACACATCGCCGAGATGTATTGCTGCGAGAAGAGGACGATTGTATAGTACTACTTCGAATACTGATCACAAGTCGGGACTCAACGTGAGTTCCCTGCAGCAAACTTGTCATGACTGCTGTTTGGCGCACACCACGTTCATCTGAATGAACTATTCTCCCTGTGGTCCGCCTATCTCTTAGGGTGAAATTTGATTCTTCCAATAAAGGAGTTTCGTTTTATTTATAAAGAAAGCCTATATATAACTAATAATCAAATGTTACAACAGGAAGCGGAGCGGAAAGCCCTCCTTTTTACGTCGTCTCGTGGCGATAGGACGCTCGCTCGGCTGCTCGATGCAGAGTCTGCTTCCCTTGAGCGTATCCGATCGGGAGATATTGCGCCTAGGAGGCGTTGCGGTCTCAAGATGAGGGATGCCTTTTGGCCAAAGATGAATCCGTTACACACCTATGGGGAGATTATCCCCGAATATGCGACATTGCCGCTCTTCATTCGCTGTCTTTGGCTAGCCAATTGCTCCAATGCGTGAAGATGCGGTTTTTAACAAGGCAGGATTGGCAGGGCCATCCTTTGATTTCATGGATTTCTTGACCACTAATAGAGGTGAGGGAGATATAGCTGACTGCTCGCTTTTGAATTATGGATGTGACACAACGTTGTTCGGAGAGTCCTGCTGTTCATATTCGTACCGTCAATGGTCATTCGAGAGCTGTGCCTCTGCATCACGCTACATAGGAGTGGGAAAGCCCCTCCTCGTATGCGTGACAACGGATGTCAAGATTCTTGCGTGGATCTGAACCAACCACGAGCTTGCGGCCTCTCGTCCCCTTCACACTGCGACAACTGAGGTGAAGCCGCATTTATGAGGGTGCCAGCTGTTTCGGCCGCCTGTCCGCTCATGTCGTACTGGTGGACGGCCATCTGACGGACCTGGAAGTATTGTGTCCCTCTCCCTTGATTTGTGGATTTTGACCACTGATGTAACTGTTCCCATACTCCAAGTGGGGAAGTTTGACAGTGAAGCTTGCGAGTCTGCAACGCTTGGGTCTGCAGGTGGGCGAGCTTAGGACGCGTAGGCAGACTTGGGTCTGGCATGCATGAGCTTGCAGGCGAACTTAGGTCTGGCAGGGATGGTTTGGGACTGCAGGCGGAACTTGGGTCTGCAGCGAAGCTTAGAGGCGAACTTGGGTTTGCAGGCGAGCTCAGGTGGCGCTCAGTGCAGGACTTGGGTTCTGTAGGCGGATTTGGACTGCAGGTCAAATTTCGAGTTGCATGGCGAGGCTCGCTGAGCAATGCGATTGAAGATAGGCCGTAACTTTTGCAAACCAGTAAGTTGCATATTGGACGAATATTATATATGAAAAATCGCCTATCTCGACGGATGGAGCCATCGAACGAGCGAAGGCTTCGGTTCGCTTCCTCCGTTTTGCCAATTCGCTTAGTTTAAGGGGAGTGATATCTGCGTTTTCCCTCTTGTTCGTCTTTATCGGGTAAAGGTTTTAGCATTTTGTTCTGAACTTCTCTGATTAAGGATTTTAAGCAATTTTATTGGGGCCTAACAGCGCTTTACCTTAACAATCAGGTTTGGAATATATATAACTTCAAAACGAATCGGTCGCAAAACAAAGCCCAGCTCAGAAACATCGGACGGTCGACTGCGGCGGTCGAAGTCCGCTGCAGGTCTTCAGCTCTGGCGGTCGACCGCGGTCGTGAGCCGAGTCTCGGATCGTTCGAGCAGCAAAAAGACTTACTATTCGACCGGCGTCGACCACGGCCTTCGACCGCGCACCTAAATCCGAATCTCAGTAGGCAGCTTGTGCACGT